TCGAAGCACGGGCGCTGACATCCGCGAAGAGCTTACAGAGGTCAGAGGCAAGCATAGTGAGAACCCCACCAGCAACGCGAGTGCCACGCCCAAAAACCTAGATCCGCCCCCCGCAAGTCATGCTCAAGAGCCTGGGCATCTCCCGTCGCGCAGCGAGTCTCTGGCAGGCACCGTAGAATTGCCCGTCGATCGAATTTCAGAATGCGCGCGCACCGCTCGGACGCGAGCATGGACGCACGAAACATGGAAGCGAAGAGTTCCGAACGCACCAACAAATAACACGAAGCGCGAGAGGGGGCGGAAGAGACGGGCAGCGACGCGCGCAGAGGGCGGCCCCGCAGAGCCACTAGAAGAAAAGCTATGAGAGGAAGACCCCTCTGAGGAACTCCCCCGATTAAACCAGAGCCCAGCGCCAGCCGTTAGACCTGTCAAAACCGCCTCAAAAGAGACGCAACGGCGCAGTCTCGAACGCAGACTGAAAGGTTGCACGACAGGCCTCCACATTACGAGCCTTCAAACACCCCTCGTCAATAGACAGCACAATTATCTGACGGTTCTGCGGGCAACAGTAGAGGTGAATGAACGAGACCGGATCCCCCCTTCAACCCACGGGCACAGAAAATCCCATCGACCCCCGTTCGGCTAATCCTGAAAACCAACCCTCTTCAACGCCCCCTGCCAATCACGACGAATCTCACCCATCTTGAAGAGCAACGGACGATGCTGAGAAAGAGCGCGGCGAACACGGAGGGGCCATACTTCTTCGGGGTCGCGAAGTTCCCCTGGAGACCACGCGCCCGAACCCTGAGCAGTTCCCCCGCCTGCCCCGCCGCAAACTTCGAGGTGGCATCATCTGCCACAAGGTCGAGGGGGGAAGCGAACTCATCGCCCTGTCCTGGACGCCTAGAACGAGCCGGCCGTGGGCATCCTTCATCCAAGTCGAACCGAATCACCTCTGAGGCACTGCGATCGGCGGAAGAACTCGAGTCCGCCGCGCGGCACTTCCCCCCGGCCGCTGGAACGGCGGGACCGGGCATAAAAGACTGGCGCTCGTTCTCGAGAGTATCGCGACGGGTTTGCACGATGACCTGCTTTGCATTCGGGGTACCATAGCGCGCGGGCATCTCCGTGATCTGCTGAAACCGGATGGCGACCGTCGAATTGATTACCGCGAGCCTTTGATCGAGCAACTGGTCGGTGGATCGCTGACGCGCGTCGAACATAGCTGGGGCGGCAGCGATCGAGCGCCACGGCGGCAGAGTCTGCGAGAGAGAGAGAGGCAAATTGTCACTCGCCCACACAGAGAGTCGCCCAGCCGCCTGCGGCCACGGCCCTCGAATCAGGCCGGTGGAAGCGAGCAAGCTCGCAGCGCCGGGCCGCATGTTTCGAGGTTGAGCCAATATGGATACGGATGGTAACGATGGCGATGATGACCACGGTGATCAATATGATGATGACGGCGACGAGCATGATGATGATTATAACGATGATCATGATGATGGCGACGATAAAAAAAGATGACGCTTAGGATCTTGGTCGGCAACACAGTCCGCAAGGCAAGCCCGCCAAACCACGGCCGACTGGAACTCTTCTGCCACGCGCGCGCGCCCGCGCGGCTCCAACGGCGCTGCCCGCGGCGACCAGGACGGCGACGGTGAGCAGGAGCACCGCGGCCCACGCGATGGAACGGCGACGTTGAACTCGCTCAGGCGGCTCAGCGACTCGCGCAAAACAACTGCCCCCAAACCACCTCGGGCCCCCCCCGCCAGCAGACGACGCGGCGCCTGGAAGATCTTCTCGCCAGCGGGGTGCCGTCATCCGAAGAACTGGCGGACGCAGCACCTCCCGTTGCCGCCGCCCACGTTCTCCTCGGCGTCGCCGGCCATCAGCAGGGGGCTCCTCTGCGCGGTGAAGTACAGGCCGCACTTCTGGCGGTGCTCGATCTCCCACTAACCTCGCGCCCCCCCGCTGCCTCTTGAGCGGCGACTGCCAGCCTGGCCGCTCGCCACGCGGCGTCTCGCCCTCCATCTCAGCGCTGGCCCACCCGCGCTGGCCGCGCTGCGGGCTGCCGCCGATGCCCCCCCACGCGCTCGCCCTGATGGGCGCGCTGGGCGCCCGTCTCGACGTCGAGCTGCGCCGCCGCCGCCCAAAGGGCCGCCGCGGCGATCGCCGCCCGAGGCGTCGCCGCCGTCGCAGGACTGCGCTCGAGCTGCACCCTCACGCGCTCGGGATCTGCATCGAACGCAACGCCTGGGCTGGGGCGCTCCCAGCATGAGACCACTGAGCGGCGCCAGCCCACACTGTCCTTCACCTTCTATAGTCGCGCGCGACATTGTCGTCGTCGAGCCCTACCCAGTTCGCGAGGTACACTGAAACGACGACGAGGGGGCCCTTCATGGCGAGGTCAACGCGGACGGCTGCACCACGGTGACTGACCACCGCGTAGCCTTTGCCGCACGGAGCCCCTTCGACACGCGTCGCCGAGATGCCCGGTCGAACCGCGACGCCCACTCCAACGGCGGGGAGCCCGTGCTCGGCGCGCCAACGCACTTCCAAGAAAGGTTGCCACTTGTTTCTAGCGCGCCACTCCTGCACTTGCAACATCTCGCCGTCGCCCAGCCACAGCTCCTGCAGGGCCGCGACCTGCGCGGCCACCGTGGGGGCGTTGCGGAACGCATTCGCCTTCGCCCACGAGCCGGCGTTGCAGGTGGCGAACACGGCGCCCCCCTTGGATTTCTTGTGGCACCAGTAGCTCTTATCCCTGTCATAAAGGTATCCTATGCTGCGACGCGCACCCTGGACTGGCTGGATTTAGCCCAACTGACGGTGGCGCAACTGGACCTGGGCTCGACTGCAGTGGCTGAGCCAGCTGTTGTGGCTGCTGACCTCCTTGGGGCTCCTGGGGTGCTGGATGTCCCCATGCAGCGTCATGCCCGCTTTGCCCGTCATGACCAGAAGCAGGTGCCCCCAGTTCAGAAAGTCGCTTCGCCTGCAAGACCCTATGGGAGATGTCCGCACTGCCCCTGGATGAACTCGAGGAGGGCGGCCGAGTTGCGCTGCTGGTTCGCAAGGTCGGCGTTGGCCAGCAGCGCTCGGACGGCTTGGACGGCGTCTCCCAGTTGCGGCGTACCGCAACTGCTTGCGGCCGATGCCGCGACACTCGCCCTCGCCGCTGCCAACGCGGCTTGTTGCGGTACCAGGGTTTGCTGATTGTTCTCCAGTTCGAGGTCTTCTTGCTCTTAAGCTCGTGCTCCAGAACGCCGATGTCCTGCCTGATGCCGTTGACGACCTCGCACCACGCCAGCGCTTGCCTGTCTTCAGCTTCCGATGTTGCAAGATCTTGCAGGGCCGCCCCGAGCACTGGCGAGCCATCCTCGTAACCCAAACCGTGCAAGCTCGCAACTGCTTTGCGGTGCCTCGCTGTAGCTGCTGCAGTCGTCTCCACAGTATCCACATCCATGCCGTCCGTCGCAGGAACTGAGGATCAAACGCTAAGAGGCCGACGACCAGCGCGCCGAGGCACACCAGCTCAGTCAGCAGCTGCGATGTGTGTTCGCGGGTCTGGCCGCCCGAGAAGGTCTCGCCCGCATCGTAAACAATGGGTGCGGCAATTCCGGTTGCCCGTGACACCGCACTGCCTTGACGCTGCACACGGCCATGTCGAAACAGCACCGCTTGATGACGACCTCGCTGCCCAAGGTGCCCGATCACTGTCGCTATCACCATGACGCTTACGACGAGGACGATTCGGCCCATCTTGTGGCATGGACCAGGGAGCAAGCGGAGCTGGCAGATCAGATCCACGATGACGCCGAAGCCGCTCCACAGCGCGAAGCACGTGTGGAGCATGAGGTTATAGCCTGTCTCGATGCCGCTGGCGCCACTGCTTGCGATGTCACGCGGGAGGTCGGGAGCGCGCCTGCACAGGAATAGCAGGCTGACGGCCACGCGGCCGGGACCCCGCGGAGACTGACCCCGCCCAAAACAGTTCCGAGTACAAATGGCCGCCTATGATGACGACGATGACGATGACGACGACGACGACGACGACGATGATGGTGATGATGATGATGATGATGATGATGATGATGATGATGATGATGATGATGATGATGATGATGATGGTGGTGGTGATGATGGTGACGATGATAATAGTAATGATCGTAAGAATAAGAGTAATAATAATAATAATGATAATATTAATAATAATAATAATAATAGGAGTAATAATAATAACCCTACTAAAAATAAACAATAATAACAAGAATTGGAATAATGATAAGAATAACAACAACAATAAACATAACAAGTACAATGATAAATATAAAAATAATGATAACAAGAAAAATGAAAATACGAATCATAAAAATAAACATGATATTGATGATGATGAATAATGTCATGATGCTGGTGATGAGGATGCTGAAGATGATTGCATTATGACGGTGATGACGATGATGATGACGATGGTGATGACGATAACGATGACGATGATGGTGATGCTGATCATGATGATGATGATGATGATGATGATGATGATGATGATGATGATGATGATGATGATGGTGGTGGTGGTGGTGGTGATGGTGGTAGTGACGTCTGGTGATGATAGTGATGGTGATCGCGGACCTCGGCTTCATCCCGCGCAAGCCCCTTCGACATGTCCCGCCTGCGTCGTTGGAGAAGGCGGTTCTGAACGAGGCGCACTTTTCGGGCCTGTCGCCGCCGGCTGTCGGTGTGCTCGCGAACTGGTCTCGCACCTGGGCACCGTGGGCCTCTTCCGCCGCGCGCGCCGCTCGCCGAGGCGCGGCGAGTGTCGCCACCATGCCCTGCCGCCCTTGGCGTGTCCAGCTGTGCCTTGCGCGCTGTAGGCCTCAGTCCTTATCACCACCACCATCACCACCACCAGCACCGTCATCATGCTCATCATGATCGCCATCCTCATCCTCATCATCGTCATCGTCACGGCAGGGCGGCGCTGCAAAGGCGGCGGCGCTGTCCCGTCTCTGCTCTGCGACCACCACGTGTGGCGGCAGTACCAGATCCCGACCACGACGCCTACCACGCCCCAGTAGACCTGCTAGAGGGGCAAAGGAGGCGGGAGAGGGAAAAGGAATTCCACCTCTTCCGCCTGATCCTCCTGCTCCTTCTCCACCGCCGCCTTCTCCTCCTCATCCTCCTCCTTCTCATTCACCACCACCACCACCATCATCATCATCACCACCACCATCACCATCATCATGATCATCACCATCAGCTGGGACTGTTATGTTGCATCCTCGGGGGACCTTGTCTGTCCCGTCGCGGCCCTGCCAGCGTCGAATGCGTGTCGAATCCATGTCGGACGCGTCGGGTCCGTGTCGAATCCGTGTCGAATCCGCATCGAATCCATGCCAAATCCGCGTCGAGTCCGCATCGAGCCCGCGTCGGGCCCCCAAAAAGACACCAATTTTGGGGACAGGCGAGGTCCCCCGAAGATGCAACAGAAGGAATGATTGCAGAAGATACCCGAGAAGACACGACAACTTCCGCCGAGAACAACCTGTGCTACGGACATGAAGAGGCCATGAATCGTGATAGGCAGAGCACAAAGGTGCCCTTGCTTTCGCATGGTCGACCTGCCAATCAGACTGTGTTGTGCTGCTGCGTCGGGGGGCACATGATCGACCATGGGGGGCGTTTTAGATTCTGCTGATTCTAGACCGTCCCCGTGCTCAAACTATCCGACACAATGCCGCTGGGCACGAATTGGATTGTCCACAGGTCTCTTAGAGTTCTCAGCATTGGGTACTGAACACTGTTTGGGGGACCCACAGCCCGAAGTTTCGGAAGTTGCAGGACGCCCATATGCAGGGCGTCGCCCTGCTAATGGGCCTCGAACCATCCTCCGCAGCGTGCCAGGCTCACATTAGCAGTGCGACGCCCGTCTAATCCCACCAGCCCTCAGGGCGCAGGTGGTCTAGGGCGTTTCCCTTTCCAACCTCCTGCCTTTCCCTGCTCGGGAGGTTTACCTCCCCCTCCCCCTCCCTGCGTTTGGACGTGGGGGAAGGACCCATAGCAGCGTCCAAGATGACCCAAGATGGCTCCAAAAAGGCCTCCGAGAGCGCAAGATGGCCTCCAAGATGGCCCAAGATAGCGGTAGACGGATCAATATAGCCTCCGACACGCGTCCAAGAGGCCTCAAGACGGTCCCAAGGCGGTTGCAAGTGCCCTCCGAGGCCCCCAAGGACCCCCCCAAGAGGCCAAAATCCTTCAAAAACCTAAGGAACATCAATGTTGTTTGCCGTCCCGCTTGTTCGCCTCCGAAGGGCTCTTGAGGCCTCAAGATGACCCCACGATGGCCCAAGACAGCCCCAAGAGGGGCCCAAGAGAGCCCCAAGACGGCCCCAAGAGCGCCCAAGAGCGCTCCAAGAGCGGGCCAAAAGGGTCCCAAGACGGCATGTTTGAGCCTCCGAGGGGGGGCAAGAACTGCCCCCCAGCCCCCCTTCTGTAGCCATAAGGACCAAGACGGCCCCGAGAGGCCTCCCAGAACCCCCCCCCAAAAGAGCCCCAAGAGCGCCCCAAGACCTTCCAAAAGAGCCCCAAGAGGGCCCCAAGACGCCCCAAAAGAGCCCCAAGAAGCCCCAAGAAGGCCCCAAGAGGACCTCAGGAGAGCCCCAAGAAAGATCCCCAGGAGGCCCCAAGTCGAGCCCTCGACCCCGAGAAGCTCCCAGGAGATCCCAAGAGGTTCCCAAGAGGCCCTGGCCCCGAAGAGGTCCCTAGGAAGCCCGAAGAGGCCCCCAAGAGGCCCCCAAGAGGCTACCAAGAGGCCCCCAAGAGGCCCCCAAGAGGCCCCGAAATTCCTCCCCAGATGCCCCTGAGAGCCTTCCGAAGAGACCCCAAGAAGCATCCCTGAGGACTCTGGCCCACGTCAGCGTCGTCGTCGTCGACGCCGCCGTTGCCGTCGTCATCTTCCTTCAGGGTCGGCGGCGCTGGCCGTAAGGCCTTCGCAATAATTCACTTCTTCCTCCTCCTCCTCCTCCTCCTCCTCCTCCTCCTCCTCCTCCTCCTCCTCCTCCTCCTCCTCCGCCTCCTCCTCCCTCCTCGTCCTCCTCCTCCTCCTCCTCCTCCTCCTCCTCCTCCTCCTCCTCCTCTTCCTCCTTCTCCTCCTCGAGGAGCTCGCACCAGGAAGAACTCGTCGAACAAGCGCAGCTCTTCCGCCTGGGCTGACCGCTTTTGGTTGGCCAAGACGACTGGGGGGGGCCCGAGGAGGGCCGAGGAGAAGGAGAAGGAGAAGGGGAAACGAGAAGGGCACGAGCGAGCGGAAGGACGGCCCTGGGATCCCGAGAACGGCGAGGACCTTCCTGTGGTCGCGCTTAGGACCTCGCAGCGGTCGCGTTGCTCGCGCACCCCTGCCCCCGTTGCCGCGAGGGTCTTAGTGCACGCGAGACGGTCGGCGCGCTCCGTTGTTCGCCAGAAGAAGAGTCGTAGAAGCTGCGCCGTGCCTGGCCCAAGACACGGCGGGCGGGGGCTGGCCCCCAGTACCCATTCACTCTGAACCGGCCCAAAACAACATTCGCACAACGTCTACCTCTAGACTGCTGTACCGTCCATCCTGGCAAATATGTCGAGCTGCGTCCACCCGCGGCGGCGAGGACCTCTAAAAAACGCCCCCAGAGCAGCCGCGAAATCTCGCCGTTGAGAATCGATCCTGAGGGGGGGGCCTGCTCGATTCGACCAGCCAACGGAAGACTACCCCATCCCAAAAAAACTGCCAGTGGGCGTCTCCAAAAAGTAGACTGGTGAAGGCCAAACCATATGTAGCTGCGTGTAGCGCAAGGCGATTCTCTCCCCTCACAAACTATGCGCCGTATGATGGAGTACGGGTCCCTGTGGAGTACGATCCATGTGAAGGGGGGTGCCGAAGTGGGCAGGGAGCGGCATGCGCGCGAGCTCGCTGGGACCGCTGGGGGAGTTCCTTTTGGAGGGGACGAAACGAGTGAGGGGTGTGCCGAAATGAACGTGGGGCGGCACTCGCGTGCGCCCGACGGGGCCGTAGGTGGAGCTCCCTGTATGAGCACGAAGCGTGGAAGGGTCGTACCCAAGTAGGCCTGTGGCAGCATGCAAGCGCGCGCCACTGGGGCCGTACGTAAGGCTCCCTATGAGGGGGGCACGAAACGCGTGGGCGGTGTGCTGCAATGGGTGAGGGGCGGCATGCGAACGCGTCCCCTGGGGGCAGTAGGTGAAGCTCCCTGTTGGAGCACGAAGCGTGTGAGGGGTGTGCCCACACGGGCCTACGGCATTGTAGGGACCTGATTATGAAGAGGGAGCTTGGAGGGTGTCTTCCAGAATCGTTGATGAGTCCTGAGTTGACACTGGTCCTCCTCCTCCTCCTCCTCCTCCTCCTCCTCCTCCTCCTCCCCCCTCCTCCCCTCTCCTCCCCCTCCTCCTCCTCCTCCTCCTCCTCCTCCTCCTCCTCCTCCTCCTCCTCCTCCTCTCCTCCTCCTCCTCTCCTCATAGTCCTCCCCTCCTCCTCCTCCTCCTCCTCCTCCTCCTCCTCCTCCTCCTCCTCCTCCTCCTCCTTCCCTCCCTCCCTCCCTCCCTCCCTCCCTCACGAGAAAACCAGAGCGAGAGCGCGATTTCTGAGCGCCAAGGACGCGGCGTTTGAATAAATTGCGAGGAAGTCCCACGCGAGAGCGCGTACTTGAAACTGGTGCTCCCCACAGGCTGTGGCCCATAGGGCTGAGCGCATCAAACGCTCTTTCCCCTCCCTCTTTGACTCCTCCTTTGCCACACACCGCCACTGCCATTGCCAGCCCAGTAAAGTTGCAGTCTGCTCGCTTCTTTACCCACACCGAGCCAAGCGGTATCACCCACATACAATGTATATGATTACTTGGGATCTTGACTATGTTGTGGTTGGTTGGGTTGTTCAGAACCGTGGGTGAGAAGTGCTCTGTCGTTTGCATGTGGCCATTTTGGCCCGTCGATAGGGGACTGTCTCATGCGGAACCTGTGGTCTACCGACGAAATTCCATCGCCCACTCTAACTCACACGCACCAACTCAGCTGCCCCCGCACTACGTTTTAGCAGATAGTCTCTTACCCTTTCAGGGTTCTCCCTCGATCAGGTATGGTGATGGCTGCGTTTGTGTTACTCTGCTACTCCTTCTACTGGCCGCTCGCTCAGTTACTCTGCGTCCCAGCGGGCTCCTCTAGTGTTCCCCATGCTAATATGACTTCATGTTTCCAGCATTTGCTCGCAGCCATACTGAGTCCATATCGCCTAAATGGGTTCCCTCTCTTTTTGTTAGTTGACCACCCTAGTGCTACGATCTTCGCCGATCAGAGTGTGGTCTCTGTCAAAAGGAAGGAGGACGGAGGAGGGATGAAAAGGGCGGAAGGAGGAGGGGAGAGGGATGGAGGAGAGAAAAGCAGGGAGGAGGAGGAGAGAAAAGCAGGGAGGAGGAGGAGGAGGAGGAGGAGGAGGAGGAGGAGGAGGGAGGAGGACGAGGAGGGAGGAAGGAGGGAGGAGGGGGGAGGAAAGAGGCAATCAGGAGGGAGGGGAGGAGGGCAACGGCAAGGGCGCTCGCTCGACTGGGCCGGCCACCACCGGCGACGGGCTCCCGGGGTCTTCATGGCGCCCCAGCGGCGGCCGCAACGACAGCAGCGCGCCAGCGCCGGCGGGCCCGCCCTGGCGGGTCGGGCGGGATGCCTCTCGCCGCGTGCTTCGGGCGCCGCCGGTCGGCCTCGAAGCGGTCGTTGTCGGTCGCCGCCGTCGGCCGTCGTCCGTCCGCGGAGTCGGTCGTCGGCCGCCATCGTCGATCGAAAAGGAAGATGGACGAGGTTGCAGGGCCAGATTTGGCCTCGGGCCCGTCCCGGACCACAAGAGGAGGAGGAGGAGGAGGAGGAGGAGGAGGAGGAGGAGGAGGAGGAGGAGGAGAGGAGGAGGAGGAGGAGGAGGAGGAGGAGGAGGAGGAGGAGGAGGAGGAGGAGGAGGAGCGTAGGAGGAGGCGGAGGA